AAAAAAAAAAAAAAAAAAAAAAAAAAAAAAAAAAAAACGGCCGAGCGATCACTATCACACACAAACGAGCGACCAATCGGCCAACAAAAAAAAAAAAGAAAAAAAAGAAAAAAAGAAGACCGAGCGATCGATATCACATTTGCCCTTTCCCCGGAAAGGCAAATGATCTATCACTCGGCCAAATCGAACTACGAATGGCTTGATCCCTCTCTTTGGGTACGTAGGCAGCCTCTCACGAGGTCCAGCTATAATCCAAACCAAAAACAAAAAAAAAAAACGATTGGCAGCACGAGGCTTTTCGCGCGAACTTTTTCGATCATGTCAAGTGAATGACTCCACGTCATCTCAATTCGACTACAATGATCGCGAAGACAATGTTAGAATCCATTTCGCTGATTAGACGAACAAACGCCAAGACTTCTCTAACGGATTAATCCCTCAACGGACCATCGATTCGTAATCCAACCGAGAATGCGTCCCTGCAAACCGAACATACGATCGCATCACGCGCAACTGGAATATCGATCGCTCGGTCAAGTGCCAATTCAAGTGGTAAATAAACACTTAAGGATGGCCGGGCGACTACCGTGTAATCGACAATCGACCTCTAACAAAAAATCGATCGCCCTCCGATGCTGAAGGAGGTCGATCAATCGTCCATCCGATGATAAAACCAATGGTGGTCGAAGTGAGGATGACGATCAATCGCCCATCCGATGCTGAAGGAGATCGTCGCAGTGCCTTTCTCTTGAGTTAGGAAGGAAGTGACTCAAAACGCCCAGCGGAAGCTGGCCGATCGATTTCCGACCATGTGGCAATCGATCGTCACGAACCCCCCCCCCCCCTCAAAACACGAGCGTCCCACTCAAGTGGTAATAAACACTTAGGAATGGCAGGTCGATTGCCGCATAATCGACAATCGACCTTTAACAAAAATCGATCGCCCTCCGATGTTAAAGGAGGTCGATCGATCGTCCATCCGGTAATAAAACCAATGGAGGTCAGAGTGAGGATGACGATCAATCGCCCATCTAACACTGAAGGAGCCGGCTGATCGATTTCCGACCATGTGGCAATCGATCGTCATGAGCTATTCTCAAGAACGAAACGGGAAAGCGAAGGCACTGAATATAAAAAAAAACTTAGTCCGAGAAGTTCAACGTGAAGCATAAAGACAACAACAACAAACCGCAACAAAGCGGAACCAAATCCAGAAAGTGCATCAAACAAAGGGCCGAAAGACCAAAAACACAAACGAAAGATGAAAGTAAAACAACAACAACAGACGAGTCAAGCGCTCGGCTCAACCGGATCGGCGACCGGTCGCTCGGCAGAAACCTTCACTCCCTCGGCAGCGCCTCCCATCTCCCCAACTAGAACCTCCTCGCCAATTCCAGCAACTTCGTTTGGCGCTCCTCCTGCATCGGCATCGATCGAACGGACGACACCACGCGAATCCGACACAGCAGTAATAGTCTCAACGACGGCCGTCGGGGAACGAAGGGAGACCGCGGTCGTAGAATCGACCAACCCCAAGTTCGTCCCGAACTGATCAAGGCCCTGAAACGGTCCGGAACGGGGAGGAGATAAAGAGAGATCTCGCTCCGTGATTTCCTCAACATCGGCCTCCTCAACCTCCCGCTTGAACTTCTTCTCATTAAATGTCAAAGTATCCCTCATCCTCTGTGGAATTTGCTGACCTCGCTTCTCTAGCACATCCAACGACTGCAAAGTCCCCAAAGCCTGAGCATGGAAAAAGAGCTTCGTCTCAAGCTTGTCTCGGTCAGCCATGTACTTCCGAAATTTGTTGAAGCGCGCGGCAGCGGCTGTCATAAGACGGCCTCTCTCAGATGTAACCTCACGAATGCGACCCTGCTTCATGAAATCCACCAATCTCCTATGCTTCTCGGTTTCCTCGACCTTCTCATGCTCCAGCTGCGCAATTTTAGTTCGAGCGTTCTCCAAATCCTCCTCAAGACCATCGGCCTTCTCGATAGCCTGCTTACGCTCGCGCTGGATCCGGCTCCGCTCCACAGCCATCTCCTTCGCCCTCTCCAAAGCACTCTTCCGGGCCTTCTCCAACTCCACATTTTGCGTTTTGATCGTTGCCTCAGCCTTCCTAAGATCCAAGGCCATTTTCCGCATAGCAAGCTCACACGCGAGGACAAGGAAGTTCTTACGAGCAGAGGCCTACAAAACAAAGACTACGTTGGTTATCACAGAAAAATATATATAAAGGAGGACGATCAAAACACATAAAGGGAGGGCGATCGATTTTAAAAAAAATATAATAATAAATAAATAATAAAACAAATCATACAACGGCATCCGCGCGGGCCGACTCAGCAAACGACCGTGGGAATGCAAGATCGCCGACCTCCGGCATTTCGCTCGAGCCACCCCGGATATGGCGGGATAACTCAGCGCATGCCCCCTCATCATTGACAAAAGCCATGTCGTCCTTGTGATGAAAGCTCCAACGCTCTGATTGGGCCAACGGCGGCTTCCCGTTTGGTGGACCCGATCCACCCCAAGGAAGGTTACGAGAGACTGGCACATCAATTTCCTGAGGAGGAGGGGCAGGTCGCCCGTCATTACCCTTCGACCGCTTACTCCCGGAGTCGCTAGGGCGATCATCGATCGGCCTCTTCTTCTTCTTCATCGCTGACGGACCAGTGCGATCCTCGCCAATCGAGCCCGTTGCTTCCACGACCTCACGATTCCCTTCGGTAGCATCACCTGAAGGACCCTCATGAACAACTTCATCTGCGGCAACTTCCATCTCCGGAGAGTCGGGCTTCGTTCTTTTAGACAACCTACTCTTCTTCTTTTTCTTCTTTGAAACAACATCAACATCGCGGTTAACCGCCTCATCTACCGCTGAATCTTCTACCGGAGGATCATCTCCCTCATTGTGTGAACCTCTGGCCTTCTCGTTCTCCGCCTCCAACGCTGCAGCAGGGTCGAAACTCTCATCACCCAGCTGGGAATCCAAGAGCTCACTGAAATTAGGATATACTCGCGGAATTCTTCCCATCAGTGGAAGCGGCAACCTTCTTTTCCCTTTAGGATCCTCACAAGGAATATCGGACGCCCAATCAACTGAAACCAGAAAACGTGAACAATCAAGCCAAAATGCACAAATCAAACGATCGGTCAGCCGGCAAGGGTGATGAAACAGCAAAGGATCGGTCGGTCGGAAAAATAAAAAAAAGAAGGAGGGAGAAAGAAAAATTACCTTTCGAAATCCGATCACGCTGATTGCGAATCCTCCTCCGGTCGAAATCGTCCCACTCGCTCCGATCAAGCACATCAATCTTCGTCACAACTTCCCAAAAAGGCTCGGGATAGTCGATGATGTTCGGATGACCAACTGCAAAATAAAAACAAAGAAATGAACGTCAAACAACGAGTTAAAAAGATCGATTAGTTCGACCCCAGGAACGTGTAACTACCAATGCGGTAGTTCCATAAAGTGCGAGAACGGTCATCAGGCGGTTCCTCGAAAGTAGCCTCATCGGCTTTAATATAGAAGTACGAGCGTTGCCAATGCGTCGTTTTCGACGGATGACCAGCTAAAATGTGCAAGCCTGCACGCATCTGCAACGCATACAAGTCGAAAGGTTTCGGTTGAATCTGTGTCAATTCCTCAAAAACCCGGACGCTCATCGGAAGATCCACCTCAGCTGCCATTACCATCAGAGCAACAGCCATCCTAAATACCCCATTCATCAATTGAGACATAGGAACATCTCGACGCGCACAATAAGAAGTAATCAAACGAGGGATGGGAAACCATAGTTTGGCGTCTTTCTCAAAGAAAGACTCATAAACGCAATGAAAACCAAAGGGAGGAGTCCAAGGCCGTTGATCGGGGCGCGGAACGACAAACGTAACACCATAAGCTCTACGACCCCTGAGCAATCGAGCAACTCCCTCTTCAGTGCACCACGACGGCGAGACATCACCCCAATCCTGCCCTTCTACCACGGACGGTCGAACCCGGTCTAAGGGAATGTCCGGAAGCTGCTCAATCACCCCATTCCTATGATAGTAATAAGGGATCGATCGACGAGCGGTGATAGAATCGGCCGGCAATCGGCCAGCATCCCTTTGCCCCGTCGCTCTACCTCCCTCCACAACCGGTCGTCGCGCCTCGTCGACACTAACCGGAGGACGATCGACATCGCTTCCCGCCGAGGAGGCGTCTCCCACCTCCTTTGCATCGTCCTCCTCCGAATCGCCAATCGAACACTGCCCATCTCCGTCCCCACGAGCGGAGCCGTCCGTCCCTTCCACCCGAGCGAAATCAGCACAGGCGGCGTCGGTCGGGACACCGCGGTAAGCCCTAGCCGCCGAGCTCAACAGCTTCGAGCCGGGCGGCGCTTCTCGCGGGGGACTTGGCGCAGATCTGCTCTCTTTCCCTTTCTCTAACAAAGTCAATTTCTCCTTGAGTTCATCCATCGATCGGTCGGCCAGAACGAACCGCCGGAAGAAATCAACAAAAATATCCCCACCGGAATCGAAGATCCGGCGGCCAGCAACAAAAAAAAAAAGAGAGAAAGAAGGTGGAGAAAGAGAGAGGGAGAGAGAGAGAGAGAAATACCTTGTAATGGAGAGCAATAAAAAATGAGAGGAATTTATCTCATTTATAAGGGAAGTCACGGGAATCGAGGTAACTAAACCTAATGGGCCTCAAGAAACCCATTAATCTCTGCTGGAGCAGTTATTCTTTTGCTTAGAAGAGGAAGTCTGCAAACGGCACGACTTTCGATTAGAGTCGAACCGTTGATCTCGACGAACGACCGTTCCCGTGGGAACGCGTATTTGACCTCCCGGTCCCCGAAAATCAAACGAAGGATGGGCGTACAAGCCGAATTCTCCAAGAAAAAGAGTGACGAAACTTGTGGGAATGCGTACTCGATCGGACTCCAGCCTGTCATTCTCAAAGCCACTCGTTCATACTCCGCTT